TGAAGGCAGCATCTTAGCTACACAGCTCCACTCCAATGGGTTTGAATCACTGATGTATACTATAATAAACTGGATTGCTCTTTGGCTGGTTTTAGTGAAGCCACCGACGCCATGTTGGAGGGGGGGGGGGTGCTAAGTGACGTACGAGTTTAGACAAGTTTCTTTTGGCATTTGTTTAAACTATTGTTAAAAATAACGATTCTTGCAATGCTTTTTTTTTTTTTTAAATCATAAATTTAAATTTAATTGGTCCACATTATTTGAATTTACGTGTGGGTCCACCCCAATATAATCCCGCACTGTTTGAAAATCCTGGCTACAGCACTGACTGCTGTAGTTGGTTTAAATCAATATATATCGATTTTAACATTAGAGGCAGCTACATATACCCTCACTCAAGAACGACATTATATTAGGATAAGCTCTTAAGGTGTTAAATGGAATTCAATCCATTAGTCAGTGATTAAATAACACAACCATTAAGCCAATTGGTAGTTTGAACTGCGCATGCCCGTATCCAAGGTCATTCGACGTAAACCACATACAGTAGTTATAACAACCTTATGACACAAGTCTACGTTGTGTGTTTGTTTACGTGATTGACCTTTATACGGGCATGCGCAGTTAAAACTACGAATTGGCTTTTAAATCATGAGATCAACCAACTAACCAATCAATAAATCAATCAATCAGCCAATCAACTAATCAATCAAGCGAGTAAGTCAATCAATACATCAATAGCATGTAATATCATACTCTGGTTCTCTTAATTGTTTGCAGGTTCCAATTGCCAGGCTATTGTGATGAACTTATGTGTCAGTATTATTGCTCCAGAAAAATATAACTTGAGGTACAGTTTATAAATTACCAGAAAATAGTCGAGCTTAATTTACTTCAAATTTCGACAGTATGTTATTCCATTTTTTTTCAAAACAAATATTATGTCATATTTGTGTTATAGTAAGTACTAAAATTGGCGTATCTAGGGAGGGCGCGGATGGGGGGAGGCGCACGCCCCCACCCCCAAAAAAAAATTACTCGCGCCTCCCCACCCCCCAGTGGCCTAAAAAATCATCGAGATCATCGAGCCCCCTCCCTCATCAGCACCCCCATTTCGAGACTTCTAGATATGCCACCGAGTACTGTACAGCGAACCTCAGACTACAATAATTGATCATTGTACTGAGCGGTTGCATGAAGACCTCGGTTCAAACGCGGCCAATAATGTCGAATTTAAATTGGCATCGGAGAGCTCGACTACTTGAATAACCCCCATGAGACACTACACTGTGGCTGCCGATATGGGGTTTTATAGACCCAGCCCGAATTCGCTTCTCGCTATAATCCTACAAGGTAGGTCTAATTAAAAAATAGGTCCCTGATGGAGCATGACCATACTGTAGGAAGTAGATCAAAATTACTCTTATAAACATAGTTCATTATCGGACAAGGTGCTACCAACCATTGGTCATCTATAAAAAAAAAAAAAAAAACGTAGGACCAATTACCAACTCTCTACTCTCACTGTAGTTGGCATGCCTGTCAATTGAAACTGAAATGAACATTCTATTTTACAGAAAAATTCCACTCCAGTGTGCTTATCACGATCAATACCAGCAACATAATAATTTTCCCTTATTTCTTATCTTATTATTAAGGCACTGCCAGGAAACGCTTCTTGTATGCCTGTATGATGCCGTCCTGTCTGTTTTGGAAAAACGTACTTCTACTCCCCCACCTCGCCCCTTCTAAAATTTTACCTTTCCGATCACTTTCCCCCTCCCCAGATTTCAGACGGTGGCGCCGCCACTAGTCCTATTCACCGTCACTATTCTCATACGCCCATTCACCATCAATCAGTTCCTTTAAAAAGAGTTAAAAATTTATTTTCCCATTAATTATACACTTTAGTTTTGTTTTTCTTTTATTCTCGTTTATAGCCAGGACCACAATGAAAAATGAATTCAATTCAATCCTGGTTGAAAACATTAAATAAAAAGTTTTAAAAAAGTAACTCAATACTGTATGTTTGGTTATTTGTATTCCCTAGTGGCGTGAATGGAGAGCATGATTTGGTGGGTCGTTTTACATCTATTGGAGTCTACTCGAACCGTACCAGATCCAAGAAACTGAACATGTCATTCACAGTTCACAAGGTGGGAATAGCTGCTGCAATGGACATTTGCACTAAGCCCCGCCCCTTGGATATTGTTACTAAGGTCCCACAAGACGACTGTTAAATCCACACTGATCTCTACTATAATAGCTGGATTGCTCATTGGCCAATCCTGGTACAGAAAAAAGTGAGGCCTTCGACGCCATGTTGGATGGCCTACATGACGTACCAGTTTAGAAAAATTTCTTTTGGCATTTGTTTAAATTATAGTTAAAAATAACGATTCTTGCAATACTTTTCAAAAATAAATTTAAATTTAACGTAGGAATTTTGTTTCAAACCATCTAACCACTAGACGCGACTGTTTATGCGAGCGAAGTCGCGTTTTTATAGTGACGTCGATCCCTAACAACGCAAATAATTTTGCTTGCGCTTCCTTAATCTGCATAAAAAGTCACATCAAGTAGATAGATGATAATAATCATTACGATAATTTAAAATTTATTATTAAAAAGTTTTGCAAGAATCGTTATTGTTAACAATAATTTAAACACATGCCAAAAGAAACTTGTCTAAAATGAAACGTCACTTAGGCCCCCAACATGGCGTCGGTGGCCTCACTAAAACCAGCAAATGAGAGATCAGTGGTTAAAACATAACACTGACGTTTGTGGACAACCATGGGGACAACATGTGTATTTGTGAGACGCGCGCGTATTCCTAGCGCTGTTCTGATTAGTCAGTTGTTAAGTCTGTTGACACTCCGTAAAGGTCTATTGACCTTAGCTCCGTCCTTTAGATACTGTTGCTAAGGTCCATCAGAAAACCTGCAGAAAACGCAAACACGTGCGCTTGTGAGACAAAACATATATATGTGCTTATAAGACACGCGCGTATTCCTCGCTCTGTTCTGATTGGTCAGTTGTTAAGTTTGATTGACACTCTAGAAAGGTCCATTTAACAATTAACTGATTTCCTTGTAGCACTTAGAAATAAAAAGTGCATTATTTGAATAAATTTGATGACGTTATATTATCTCTTGTAGGAGATGATCAACCAGTCTATTATAGATCATCGACATATGAGTGTACACTGTGTATTCGTTGACGTCAAGAAAAAGTAAGTTTAATAGAAAAAACAAGTCAATTACATTAATTAGCGTTATTAATAATTACACCAGTTATGTTTCAAGATGATTTTTGAAAGTTTAATGTGATAACATAATCTTTTTTTACCGTTTATAATAAAAAATAAGTCATTTTATATGTTGTATAGGTGTTATTTTGCCCTACCTGACGTGAAAATGTACTGAATACTCAGTATGTTTGAAAACAATTGCGAAAAAAATCTCCCTTTTCTAGCAAACCCCCTCTTTTTTGGCGAAACCCCCTCTTTAAAATTTCCCAAATAAGTCCTCCAACCCAACTAATGCACTCAGACCCACCCAGACACAGACGTTTTCAAACATATCTGCTTTTATAGCATTATTTAGACCCATAAAGCACAAAAATCCTCTTGCTTGGGGGTTTCGGCGACCCTCACCAGGGCTCGACCGTGGACCT